CTAGCTTTTACTCGCTGGGTGCGTTCTTTTAGGCATCGGATACAGCAGTTTTTGCAGTAATTCATTCTTTTAGCCCGACTGCGCAGTCGACTGCACCGCAGATTTCCGTCAGCCGGCAGATCCGATGCACAGCGGTTGCCAAATCCGATGCCTAAAAGAACGCACCCTCTGCGTGAAACTGCGGCTTGATTGGTGATACGCAGGTTATGCTATGCAATTTACGCTCCATGTGAAAGCACCCTTAGTTGAGCCTCCTTATCTCTATTCATCATGGCGTCGACCAATCACGAGCGTTCCGCTGTTTTCGTGATTGGTCAAGGCTCTCGTTCCACGATTTTCTGCGTATGTATGTACACCGTTCCACACTATAGTTTACACCCTCATAGTTTTCATATTCGATTTCGCTGGTTTTGTGTGCGCGCGCAACCTCTGGATGAGAGACGAAAGACTATGATCGAACATACGTTCCAATAGTCTCTCTTCAATCGACCGACCATGATCTTAAGCGCAGTGTCGAAAGCAACCGCCAGCGCCTTGAGAGGCACCAAATCTCTCTTGCAGAATGAAGTGGCGAAAGTTTCGAGCGTTCTCGCCGTTAACAGTAAGTACTTGTTTCGCGATTTAACTCCACGAACATAATAATCGCCGATTGCACTGTAGGCATGATACTGTCGACGTACAGCCATCTGCCATGTACGTTTCAGTCGAACGACAAATATTTCCACGAGAAATCAAGTAATTTAGAATTCTGACAGTTCACGATAACCAATGTGTTCTGGATTTCATACAAATTATTCAAGTAAAATGAATTTTTTGTCGATTACATAATCGGCTATCCATTGATGTGGATTCTACTTGCCAATATGGCGACCTGAAGCTACGTTCGTCTGTCCGATTCATATAATTTCTGTGAGTAGATAAAAAGTTACAAACATGGGTCCAAGTGTCTCGCGATGCTTCAAACGCATGCGAAAAACATGTTTTGTCGCGCAAAGCGTTTGTCCTTACAGTTTACATTTAATAATAAATTCAACGTCCCTGATTGCTTCGTTTCTTTCGATATTTTCCTCTATTGAGATAATTTGAAGACGTTTCGAGATATGACAGAATCATGTTGAGAAATGCTTCGGAGAGGTTGTGAAATTAGTTTCGAGTTACACATATATGCAAGTGTATTTTTATGTTACATAACATACTCCTCAACCAAGCGTGATTCAATCTGCGCAAAGATTTGAAAATATCTTGAAATCAACTTCTTTTAAGCCCATTTTACAATGAATTGTAGACGTTACTCGGAACTATATGTTGATCCTTTTTCTTTTTGGGTGAATGGACTTTAAGAAAGACGAAAAAATTTAATTTATTGACTTCGATTCGAAAAATGATTACACTATAGAATATTTGAAACTTTTGTCTTGAAATTTCCAGAAGTAATTTGAGGCAAAATCTTACGTCAGAGTGAAACATTCTGTCACTTTTGAGCATGTGGTTAGCTGATTATGTGACGTTTAGACTGCTATTAATCGTTATCATAAAATCGTAACCTTTGTCATGAAAAGTTACCAAAAACTGGTATATTTGTCATATTTTTTAGTATAACTTCTTACTTACGTATAAATTTTTTGAGACACAAGTGTAAGGTTCACTCTAATTATTTTAAATAGAAAGGGACTATGCGGTCAAAGCTGCAGCTGCACCCAAGGGTGGTGCACAAGGGAAGGTAGTTGCTGTCATCGGTGCTGTTGTTGATGTACAATTTGACGACGCTCTTCCCCCTATCCTTAATGCATTGGAGGTACAGAATCGTACACCCAGGCTGGTACTCGAAGTTGCTCAGCATCTTGGAGAAAACACGGTGCGCACCATCGCTATGGACGGTAATATATATTTTTTAAAATATAAAACGCATAGTTTGTGCGTGTGTGTGTTTAAATGTGCAAATTTTAATTATAGATTTTCTGTGCATTAAACTTAACGAAAACTCTATTAAGAGTTAATAGATTTGTGTAGAAATAAGTACAAATTGACCTTTAGCTCTGTGTTCTGTACGAGAATTTTTGTTTGTAAGTTCTGTGTAACGCTTTCTTTCTTTCTTTTTTTTTTGCTGTTTCTCTCTTGCCATATAGTGCTGCAGAGTTTATGGAGATGTAGTATTGCAGAGCCTCAGTAGACTCAGTTACAAATCACTCTTGTATTTGTAGGTACGGAAGGCCTGGTACGTGGTCAGAACGTTTTTGACTCTGGATTTCCTATTCGTATTCCTGTGGGAGCCGAGACTTTAGGCCGCATCATCAATGTTATCGGTGAACCCATTGACGAGCGTGGACCCATCCCTACGGACAAGCTGGCCGCTATTCATGCAGACGCTCCCGAATTCGTAGACATGTCTGTTGAACAAGAGATTCTAGTCACGGGCATCAAAGTCGTGGATTTACTGGCTCCTTATGCCAAAGGTGGAAAAATCGGTAAGACATACACTGCGGCAGAAATAGAGCTATTGAAATTAAACAGAAGAGACGCGGATTCTTTAGCAATATTATTTGAAATTGAAACTAATTCACTGACTATAATGATCTCACCTAGGGGAAATCTGTGTTATATGTCCGATAGTAACGGCGCGCAGTACAGGGTGGGATAATACGGTATATGATTCACATAGCAATATAATGGCCACCACCTTGCCAGGTCCTCAAAAAATGGCATTTAAGTTTCAATTTGATTTATATCAGAAAAGGACCGAGAAAATATTAATTGTACATATTATTTGAATTACCTGTTACGAATCCCTTTGATATCTTGTATCAGGCCTATTTGGCGGTGCTGGAGTCGGCAAAACTGTACTCATCATGGAACTGATCAACAACGTGGCTAAAGCCCACGGTGGTTATTCGGTGTTTGCCGGCGTGGGTGAGAGGACCCGCGAGGGTAATGATCTTTATCACGAGATGATCGAATCCGGTGTTATTTCTCTCAAGGACAAGACTTCTAAGGTAGCGCTAGTGTACGGACAGATGAACGAGCCGCCTGGTGCTCGCGCCCGCGTAGCTCTCACTGGACTCACCGTTGCCGAGTACTTCCGTGATCAGGAAGGTCAGGACGTGCTGCTATTTATTGATAACATCTTCAGGTTTACTCAGGCTGGTTCCGAGGTAAATAGGTATATCATTTACTAAGTAATCCTATATAAATGATAGAAAAAACTTGCCTGCGAGTTCATTAAACACGCGCGCACAAAAGAAAGAAACATTCTATGTAAGAAGCAATTCACCTGTTTAAAAATAAAAACATTTCTATTTCTGACAAAGTAATTTTTTGTTTTTATAAAGCGATTAAATATTTTCGAACTCTTCTTAATATAAGTACTAATATGTCTTAGACATTAAATATTTTCTATAGTGTATATGCATATATTTTAGGTATCTGCTTTGTTGGGTCGTATTCCATCCGCTGTAGGTTATCAACCTACGTTAGCCACCGACATGGGTACCATGCAAGAGCGTATCACCACGACGAAGAAAGGATCCATCACCTCTGTTCAAGCTATTTATGTGCCTGCCGATGATTTAACTGATCCTGCTCCTGCCACCACCTTCGCTCACTTGGATGCTACAACTGTGTTGTCGCGTGCCATTGCCGAATTAGGTATGTGTCTTTTGAAAATTGCATCTATCGTGTCACGATGTCCGATAATCCTTTACGTATTTATTGGCGATATAGGCATTTATCCAGCTGTTGACCCTCTTGACTCTACATCTCGTATTATGGACCCCAACATTATTGGCACGGAACATTATAATATCGCCCGTGGTGTACAAAAGATCCTCCAGGATTATAAATCACTACAGGATATCATTGCAATCTTGGGTATGGACGAATTGTCAGAAGAAGACAAGCTTACGGTTGCGCGCGCGCGTAAAATACAGAGATTCTTGTCCCAGCCATTCCAGGTAAGAGAAAGTTTTGCACGCACAAATTTGATACAATCCGTTCTCTGGAAATTGTAATTCCTAAAACACAGCTTACTTTCATAAATTATTTTGTCATTTATTGTTTTTCTTTATTTTTATTTAAATTGATGTTCTTCAAGAGATACAGTGTTATAATTTAATTTAATAAAAGTCTGACAATGAGCTAAAATCGCGATACATTATTAAATTTATTATCAGCTCAAACTGTATTTCAAGACGGAAAGTTATCGGCGCACAGTTTTACTTGAAAAAAAGGATGTATAACGAAAAAATATCACTAAATACTAAAAGATCCGGTCTAACCGTATAAAGCGTTTCTGTTATTTATAATAAAATCCACTTATTACTATTCAAATTTACGACTTTTGTTTAACATTTCTCTACAAAACACTCTACAAAATTTCCTGTATTATGTGACGTGGTAGAATCAAAGTTTAACTTTTTGTTGAATAAGTTACTGTTTTATTCACACTAATTGCACCATATAAGGATTCGATCATATCATTCTAGGTCGCTGAAGTGTTCACTGGCCATGCTGGTAAACTAGTACCATTACAAGAAACCATCAAAGGATTCCAGAAGATTTTGGGCGGAGAATTGGATCACTTGCCAGAAGTAGCGTTCTACATGGTCGGCCCAATTGAGGAAGTAGTAACTAAAGCAGAATCATTAGCCAAACAATAAAGTAACTTACAGTCATCGTAAAAACGTTAAAATACTATACTGAATCATCTTTTATTTATGAAAGCAACCTTTTAACGAAATTTGCATTTTCTTATCATTTTTATTATAAGATTTAAAGAACAAGTATTAAAAGTATTCAAGTAACAAAGTATGAAAGATAAGCGAAAGTACATAAAAAAGATGTTAACAAAATCTTTATCGCGATATATTGTAATACAAGATTTGTTACCGTAATTATTAATTTTAAAGGGTTGCTTTATGTTTTACTTTTTATTACAAAGGCTCGTAAGAAATTAGAAACATTATTCAATTTTCTGCATACATTAACATACACTACTTCTGGACTTTCTCTACAGATCTAATTAATATGATTGAGTTATTACAAAATAACATGTACTGCAAAATCACGATGTATATGTTAGATATTAATAAAAGTTTTACAAAAACACAAATGTTTATTACATATCTTTATTTGAATAATTTTCAGTAGAAATTGTGGAAAAATGATTAATACAACATATAATTGAACTTATGCAACACCACAAATACAAATTTTAACAAAATCATATACTCTTTGTATTGATAAAGAACGTTAATAATTATTTTCCTTCGTCAAAATTAATCATTGGTTGTTCCAATCGGTACGCCTTTTTTAATATCTGAAAAAAGACATTTTGATTAACTTAATAATTTTAATTTTGTATATTTTTTCTACAATTTTAATATGCTTAATAAATTTGTTCTCAAATTAATAAGTTTGTTACAGAATGCATACTAAGCTAAATATTTATAAAATAGCTTTTATATATGACAGTTTAAAAAGTAACAGAATTTTATTTGTTGAAATTGATCGAATTTTAAACCCATCCAATAGCTCTTTCAAGGAATTGAACTTACTCTCCATTGTTTCATGTTTAATGCTGTGACATTCTGAATATTTATTCTATTGCCAGATCGTTTTTCTTGCGAGTTCGTTTCCTTGCGATGATTAGATGGTTCTACAACAAGACTTCTACGATCTAAAAATAATCATTGAAATTTGATAATAAAATTATAGAACTACTTTTGTTTGAATAGAATAAAATATACCTTTTTTCAATTTTATTACTCCATCTTTTACAAGGAACGATATGTATAACATGTTTCTGATAGTCTTCCCAAAATCATGGGGATGCAGAATTAGTTGAAAGAAATCAAGCGATTTTCCTGTTTCCTTACAGTAACATGTAATTAACTTTTTAATCTTTCTCACAGTACGTTCCACACTATCTTCATCTTTTGCGTTTGCATTTACTACTTTTTCAGGTACAGTCATTGCAGCTTGCAATGCTACTCTCTGCTCAGGTTTCTTCCTAACTATTGTCTTCTTCTCTAAAGGATCCAGTGTGCCTGAAATAAAAATTACAAGAAACTTAGCCTCTTGACATGAATAGGTAAAAGTTTAAAATTATTTAACAGTGCTGTCTATAAAAAATATCTAGAAACATAAATAAATACACACGAGATTAATACTTATATAATAAATACATATTCTTTTTTGTTTTCAATGTCAATAATTGTAAACAGACCTAATAGTGTGTTGCTATTAGCAATTTTTTTAAACAGTTTTGTTACTCGTCTTTCTAAAAGTGACCAGTTTGGAGATTGTGCTTTTCCTGATGTTCCTTGCAAATGTTTTACCTAAGACATAAATTCGATAAAAATAATTATATAAAATATAAATAAAAATGCTTAGAAACAGCAATACAATATATTTGAAATAATTTTAATATAGATAATGTACACCGCCGGCTAAAAATTTGAGACACAAAATTAAAAATATTTCAGTGAAACATTATATACAAATTTAATTGCTTTACTCAATATTTTTCTTAATTTGAAAGTAAATAAACACAATTGTAGTTTATATTAATCTTAAGAAAATGGACTACAGTTATAAAGCTTTTTTCTCCAAACTGAGATGTGGAACTATCTTGGAAAATGGACAGAAGTCTTATATCAGAAAAACAGAAATTAACTTTTAGCAAGATTACCTAGATTAGTAAAAAAGCTGATTAGATACAAGAGCCACTTGGATGAGAATTATCTAATATTTCTCGTTTTGCATTATAGAACCTTCAAATATTTAATTGTTATTTCATAAAACGAATAAAATAATAAAAATTTGTCGAACTAATGTATACATTTGATTCTATTTAATAAATATTTTTAATTATGATCTCAAATTTCTGACCAATAGACAAATATAGATACATAATCTTCAGCAAATCTACCAATTTTTGTGAAAAGTCGACATAATCATAGTCACGCATTCTCTTAGTCAATGAAACAGTACACGTTTTTAGCACTTTGGAAGATGATGTCATCATTTGTGAGTCAATAAACACCTCCTGCTGATTAGACACTACAAACATAAAAAATATTAGTAATACAAGAAAAATATTGATATAGTAAATAAAATAATATATATATACTCTAAGAAAGTTTTAGTTTTTAATTAAAATATTTATTCTGGCGTATCATTCAATGCATAAATGTTTTACATTATATGTTGAATTTGTATATATATAATTTGCAAATAATATATATATATAATTAAAAATATATATATAATACAAAACTTTGAACAATACACATGATTTACATATACAAGAATAATATAAGTAAAAATGTAATTTTAGTATTCTATACCTTTTTCTTGTATGCTTGTTTCATAAGTAACATGGTCGACTTGGTTTATGGCTTCATCTAGCTTATTTATCGTGGAATTATTGACCACTTCCTCTGCAAATTATTCACTAATTAGTTGTATGTATAGATATAAGGCAAGAAGATAAAACTTAATAAAATTTTTTTTACGTAAAACAAGGGTTTGCTGCAAGGCACGTTTCAGACAATTTTTACGTTCCTTGGAAGACCTTGTATTGAAAGAATTAAAATCCGTTGAATTCTTGTTGTTTAACATTTTGAGTAAATGTTTAAAATATCAGCACTTTACAACTTCTCCTCTTTCTTTGGCACACAAATCACCCACAACGAGGTTAACAGCTGACACGACTAACCAACGTCGTAGTCAAGGGGTCTGTTCTTTATTGCTGTAATCCTAGGGTCTGTTCTTTATTGCTGCACTCCTGAACTAATGCACACTTGGCTGCGTTCGTAAACGTTATCCGCAGAGTACAAATGTCTCTGAACTTGTTCAAAAAGTCAGAAACACATCAAGGTGGAAATACAGTGGGTGCTTTCCAATTATTTTACACTTTTTAACACAACGTACACAAGGGGTGCTTTCGCGACGTAGATCAAAATGATCCGGATCAAAATGATCCGTGCTATGATTGGTCAAATCTGAAATTTCGTAGCATCACATTGAAATTTTATTCAATGAAATTCCAGATTTGACCAATCATAGCACGAATCATTTTGATCCGGATCATTTTGATCTACGTCGCGAAAGCACCCCTGGGGAGCGATCGCGTGCACGATCGAATTCGATCGGTCGACTTCTCATACGTCTCTACTCTACAGGTTTCATGGTTCATGCTTATTTATTATAGGATAGTTTCCCTCAGACCATAGATTGATCATGTACGAAGAGTGGTATCGGATGGCATATTCCTTCTCGAATTCGAATTCGATCGGTGCACGCGATTGCTCCCCAGAAGACACAAAGTGTCGCGATGTGCACGACTCAATTGGAACAAAATATACCACAAAGAGTACACAAAGTAGTATAGTATCCATGCTTGGTATTTTTAATCCATGGTGGTGATCGAAACTGCGTCACCTAGTTTCAGTGATGCCATATTGTTCTTTCATATGGCCGGAATAGCGAGCTGCTTTCGATCTGTACACCTAAGCCATTTAATTTGTATATTACACAAATGTTTCCGCGAACTGAGGGTGCTTTCACATGGAGCGTAAGTCCCAGTCTACAATAGATGATTTAAGCCCTAAGCTTTAAGAAATTGGCCAATCACGGTCAAGTATGAGAAGAATGCGCGACTGTGATTAGTCAATTTCTTAAGGCTTAGGGCTTAAATCTCTATTGTAGACTGGGACTAAGGGTGACGTCCCATGACGCGTATCGCGATACGCGCGTATCGGGCGTATCAACTCGTCGACCAATCACGGACGATCCGCCGTTTTTGATACGCCGACGATCCGCTAAAGTTCTAATTGAGCGGAGCGTATGCGTACACCGTTACAATGGATAGCTGACAAACATATAAAATGGAAAATAAGGAAAATACAACCCCGATAAATATTTTTTAAATAATATTATTTAAGTTTTAGATAAATTAATACACACTTAAGTTGCCGAGACAGAATTATAATTATAAATTAAATATACAATTTTGAGGTTAGAAGTGTGCACGAATCAGTTTGTTCTTCCATCTTATATTATAATAAATTCGTGCATTATCTTATGTATTTAATATGAAATATCACGCGCTAATTATATCATCGGCCTAATTAGAAAGCCTAACTCACTAAATTATAATTATATACTGGGAATGAAACTTCTGACAGAAAAACATCCAAAAGACAGTATACACACACGCACGTGCACGCACACACGTTCA